CTTTAAGATAATTTTCTGCTAGGTGTGGAAGTGGAAAACTCTAATCCAAACACTCAGGAGGCTGAAGTGGATTAGGGATTCCAGGAAGCACGTGTGTGTGTGTGTGTGTGTGTGTGTGTGTGTGTGTGTGTGTGTGTGATGGACATCCTTCTAGAACAGAGAGGTTCTCCTGCGCTTCTTCTGTGTGCTTTATAGCTTTCCATTCTCCACCTTCCATCTGGAGTAAATCCGTGTAAGTGTAGAAGGTACCAGATCAGCTTCATCTCCCTCCTTGCAGTGAGAGAGTCTTCTCCTAAAACAACGTCAGACACAAGAACTCAAACCCTCAAACGTCCAAGGCCATGGTGATGCATGTCTCTTCTCTCAGCTAAGAAGGCAGAGAGGTGTGAGGATCACTGCAAATTTGAGGTCAGCCTGGTCTAAATAGTGACTTACAGGCTAGCCTGCTTTAAAGAAATCATTTATCATTTCCCCATTTATAAATTAGGGTAAAATAGAGTCTTCTCTATTTAATCCATGGTTTCCCACAAAAGGCACAGGGAGGCCATTGTGTTTCACTAAGAAACATGACATTCCAGCTTTATCTCTCTCTCTCTCTCTCTCTCTCTCTCTCTCTCTGGGACGAAGCTGTTTCTCAGCTTGATGCACAAGGCTTTATGCCACATACTCCCCCTTTGGTTTTCTGTCTTCCAGCGTTTCCCCTCAGGGGTCAAAAGAAAGGATAGCCTGACCTCACTTCTGATGTGAAGGTTCGTGGGTTGTAATTTTAGAATAAATTCATTCCATGTAAAATTATTTGTCCACTGTCTGCCCAAGAAGGCTTTTACAAAGCCCATGGGGGCAATGCTTTCCAACTGGATCTTTCACTGATCTACCTAGCTGCTATGGAGCCATTCCCAAGTAACTCTCTGCTGGCTGGAACGACAGAGTTCTCTATGTTCCATCCCTTCGCTACTCCTCTATGCCTGATGTGTGTGATACAACAGCAGACGTGCTAGAGGCTCACTGTATCCTGGATGAATAACTTAAGGAAGTCAGTGTGGTTGATAACCTCAATGCATTTTGGTGGAGAAGGTGGGGCCACACCGTTTTTGTTCCGTGAATCATGGGAACTTAGGTTTGAGGCAAGAGAAAAACTCTGTAGTTTCCAACATTCATCCAAACCTACAGTAGAACTGTACCAGTTTCTGAATGAATATGCCTGGATAGCATATCACATTAGTTAGAGAAGGTAACTCGACCACAGGGTTTCCATTTTCACCTTAAGGATAGGAGATGAGAACATTTGTTCAAATGCTGCCCAATGTCTGCCAGAGGGTGAGTCTCCAGCAAGTAAACCACCATTGTGAATGTCTGCCTGGACTTATGAGTAGGAAATGCAAGGTTCTGATGAACAAAGGGGACCGGAGCATCCATGTAAATTACACACAGATTGCCACTTTCTGTGCAATGAAAATATTTGGCTAATCAACGTCTTTTTTTCTATTTGCTAATTCTGAGGTTTTAGAGTCTCAACTTACTCGAGTTGCCATTTCTTTATCTGAAAAGGAGGATGGTGCCCACACCTGTTTAGGAGAGGAGACATTGACAAACCTTTCTGGAAGAGGTCAAACAGTGGGAACTTTGGGGTTTGGGGGCCTTAAGCGTTTTGTTGCTGTAGCTTGTCTCTGTTGCTGTGGTCCCTAAGCCTCTGGAGACACTGCATGGAGGAGGCAAGCCATGATCTAAAAACTGGATTTATGGAGCATGGAATTGGGGTTTCTACCAATATTTGCATGCCACAAAACCGTGCTCCTTTAGATTTTGATTTTAGCTATGGAGGAAGTACTCCTAGCTAGGAAGCCATACCCAGCAGTGTTTCAGACTGTACTTGGTCCTTGGCCATTGCTTCCCAGCCTCTGACAAAGCTTCCAGGAAGCAGACTGGGGGCTGATCATAAAGGTTCCATAAGTGTTTGCTGGTATTCTCTTCTTATAAATAGTCTACACCAAAAGCCAAGTTCAGATTTTCCAATGGGGTGGATGACAGCTGTTCATGGAAAGCCACATGCCAACATGTGTTTTAGGGGGGTAGAAAGAGGAGGCTCAGCTTAAGAGGCTTCATATTACAGCTGTATGTAGTGGGATCCTTCTTGATCCAAGCTGCTCTGATAATTAATGACTTTATGAACAATCTGGGCAGCAAAGACACCATCTTATAAAATGATACTTCTTTTTTTCTTTAATGAAACTTAAAAAAATATTATAGAACATAACTTGAACACAAAAGATTCAGTTCTAAAAACATATGATTATGATTACATTGAATATATATTAATATTTTTTTCACAACACAGGAGGCCCTTCAATTTTTTATTATTCCCAGAATGATAGTTAAGCATCAGTCCCAATGGAGAGGACTGAAGACATAAAATTCAAGATGAAAGGGCAAATCTATGCTAGTTGTACACCACATTCTCAAATAGGTCTACCTTCACTCCTATTTTTTTTTTAAAGATTTGTTTATTTATTATGTATACAGTGTTCTGTCTCCATGTATGCCTGCAGACCAGAAGAGGGCGCCAGATCTTATTACTGATGGTTGTGATCCACCATGTTGTTGCTGGGAATTGAACTCAGGACCTCTGGAAAAACAATCAGTTCTCTTAGCCAACTTCTCTAACCCCTACTCTATTTTTTCTTTGCCTTCCTTCTTAATGCATTTACTGCTACAAAGACAAGTGAATTCATAGTGCATTGAAGGAGCTAGATTAAAAACTCACCACAAAGGAAGGGGGAACCAGCATGAGAGACAGAAAGAGCCTCCATTTTAGTCTGAAGGAGGGTGTGGTCAAGCTTAGGTATTTAGTCAGCTTCCTGAAGAGGAGGAAGGAAAAGAAAAGAAGGCAGAAAGAAGAAGAGCATTTCATACAAGGAGTGGGGTTCCAGTCAGCACTGGCTGGAGCCAGATAGAACGCTGAAGGAGCGGGGGGGGGGGGGGGGGGGGGGGGTATGGCCAGAGGGCAGCATGCAGACCAGAGCGGGGAAGACGGTGCCGTGAGAGCTGGCAGGCATCTGTGGCCCCTTGAGACCTACTCTGGCTTTGGGACTGTATCCCTGACCTGAGGGTCTCAGCTATTTCACAGAAATATAGCAAGAATGAGGAGGCCAAGCAGGATCAACGCAGGAGACTAAATGAGATGATGTTCAGGTCCTGAGTGCCCTTCAGGAGATGATTATAATACCAGCATTTAGATTTTGAAAAAAAAAAATGGTTTCGAAATAATTTTCAAGAAAAAGGTGCTTCCTTTGCAGACACACTGTGAGTGCCAAATCATGTCTCCATGTGAGGACCACTAAGATTTCATAACCTTTCTGCTGAAGACTCGTATGAGAGAGAATCACCAATATCATAAGAATTGTGGTTTGTAAAGAGCAAACCAGGGCTATGAGTTGGTTCAGTGGCTAAACGCCCTTAGTGATATGCCTGATGACCTGAGCGGGATCCCAAAATACTCGTAGAAGGAGAGAACCACATCTTGAATGTTGTCCCTTGACTGCCACATACATGTCATGGTATGCCAACTCCCTGTCCTCAAGTAAATAAATATCAATGAGTCTTTTTAGATAACTTTCCCCTTTGTCTTGGAAAAGGTCAGTGTATGTGGGCAAGCAAATTTGGTTTTTGAATGAGGGCATACACTTTTAAAGCCATAGGGACATCCTATCAAATTCTTAAGTGCTCTCAATAAACAAGTAAACTGCATATAGGTGGCAATTATTTTTAAACATATTGTAAAAAGAGCATGCTGCTGCCTTGGTGACTTGGGTCTGTAGCACCAGCAGCTTGGGTGATGGAGCAGGGTGTGGAATGTTTAAAGCTCACTGTTGGAACAGAGAGGGCCCACGGCCGTTCTGGATGACTGAGCAACCCTGTCTCAAACTAAAGCATAAAAAGGAGGGCTGGGGTGTAGCTCAGTGGCAGATGCTTACCTAGTATGCAAGAGGCTCTGGGGTTAGTCACCAGTGCCCGGCCCTCAGCGGACAGAGAGGGTTCACGGGAGAAGGCTGGCAACAGCACAGCTGGGGATCAGAAGTAGGAACTGATCCCTGCATTGCCCTTCCTTCTGACTCAGGCTGATGCGAAAGAGATTGTGTTTGCAGCCTACGGACGTGTAGGCCTGAAAGGGAAATGGTAACTATAGGTGTAAATGGAATCACTCTGGCCACCAAAAGCTTCAGTTTCCACATCCCTCATTCATTTTGGTCTGTTCTGCAAAGTGTTAGCGCTTCCCAGCCATGGAAAGATGGGGCATCCTGGAAGTTGATTGACCACTGCCTCAGGTAATCTGTTTTGTCTCCTTGCTGTGATGGCCAAAATGGAATGCCGTGGGAATATTAAAGATGGATTCATTTTTTTTAGGAGTGCAAATGCTACAAAAGAGCCAAAAAGTATTTATGACCTTTGAGTCGCTAACTATACTGTTGAGAACCAAGTAGAGAATTATCATACAGTGAAAAAAGAAAAAAGAGAAAACAATTTGAAAATGTCCAATAGTTTGCAAATGATAACCTGATCCTGATCACAAATTCATAAATATTACATGGCCATTTAAGAGGATGTGGACAAAGACCGAAAACAGTACAACATTTGTATTAAATAGTTGCGTTGTATATGTACATACAATTACAAAATGGGCAAACTGTGAAGTTTTAAAATATTGAGGGGAAATTAAGGGACTTGTGAGGGCAGCTGGAGCTGGTCTGCAGTGCAGGTGGTTTTTTCTTTTTTGTTTTGTTTTGGTTTGGTTTTTGCAGGGCAAGGGGAAATTTTCAAAGCAGTAAACATGCTGCTAGGATCCATGTAAGCCTCCTTCCCCACCTTAAATAATGGCATCGAAGACCAAGGGAGCACTGTGCTTCCCTATACCCTCCCCACATCCACTTCCATTCCTAGGAACATGTTTTGTCTGTTGGTAAACATTCCTCGGAGTCAAAGGCACCGGACACCCAGGTACTCACTGTTTAGAGCGCCAACGACCTTCCTTCTGTTGGGACTCATGATTACTTAGGGAGCATACACTCCCTCTTTTCTTCAGTGCAAAAAACATTTTCTCTTTAGCCAAGGCTGACATCATAACACGCTCTAGGAAAAAATACTGTGAAAAAAAAACAAAAGAAAGATATGAAAATCATTTAGTTTCTCTAGCTTAACATCATCCCAGGTGGAGGACCCAGCTGCTAGTGTGACCCTTTCACATGGGGACGGAGGTTTTCTGAGAGCAGGAATCTGCAGTGTAGGCGACTTTGTTGTGCCTATACAGCTGGGAATAGGATATTTTTTTTTTAAGCCACAGTGTACCTAATTCACACAAACAGACGTTACTCTATAGTCAGGATGCTTAACTGATGGATAGGGAGAAAGTTACCGCGGAAAGATGGGTGTCTGTAGAAAGATGCTGTCTTGTACCCCACGTCAATATTTTTATTACTGCTCTGTATCTGATCTTGATACACGTTTCTGAGTTAAGCTTTGCCATTTTGGCTGTGGAGGGAGATGTGGTGGGCAGGTGTGTGCTTGGATGAAGTAGACAAACTGGAGAGGCATAACTGGAAGAACCCAGTTCTACAGAGAGTTGATTGTAGGCTACCAGTTTGCTGTAAAACCTGGCCGGACCCTTCAGTGTAAAACCTCAACTTAAAAAAAGTCTTAACAGAGAGAGCTATGAGATCAATCATGGGCCTAAAGCAGTCTCAGAAAGGAACCAGAGGCGAGTTAGCACCGCATTTGGGTAGCTGAGTCTCTGATGGTCAGAATTCTCTTTATTTCCTCATCAGGGTACATCATACACGTGCGCACTAATGAAGGCGGACACACAAGACTTGGTCTTGTTGTTTTGTGGGAGCTTTATCTAGAAATCATAAGAAGTGCTGAGTGGTGGTGGCACACACCCTTAATCCTAGCACTCCAGAGGTAGAGGCAGGTGGATATCTGTGAGTTTGAGGCCAACTGGTCTGCAGAGGGAGTTCCAGGATAGGCAACAAAGCTACAGAGAAACCCTGTCTTGAAAAACAAACAAACAAAAACAAACAAACAAAAAAGAAATCATAGGAAGAAATTCTCTAAAAAAAAAGATCTGGTTTACTGTAATTTTGGAGAGAGAAAAAAATGTTTGCCTTATACCATGAATATGCCATCTAGCTCATAAATATTCATAAACCTTAAATTCCACTATGAAGAGCCCACTGCGCGGCTCCCACCCCTTGAACAGCCTGAGCCCGTCTCTCTTTGGAGTATTTGCTTTGCTTAAAACGTGACTCCACTGATTCTTCCCTTCCAGAAGAACTAAGAACTGCACTCCTAACAGGAGTTAGGTGCCGCCCACGCTTGCTAATTCCGGAGAATTAGCTATTCTCAACTCTGCTGGCAGGCACACCCTCTCTAGAGAGACCCCGGATGGAATTAAGAACTATCAGCGATGCAGCGAGTAGGGGAGATTGCTGACGACCAGCGCTTGGTAGATAAGTTGAGCATCATCACCCTTTGAAGCCAGGCTTGAGGTCACTTTTTCTGATTTTGTGGAGCTGGGAGCAGAGATCGCCGTTATGTAAGCCGCTCCCTTCCGAGCCTCCTTTCCTGAACCTTCTACCCCCCAAGCACCTGCACTGACCTGCTGTGTGCTGGGTGGCAGGCCTGACCGCCGGGACCTGGGAACGTCCTCAGTGGAGCTGCAGAAGCCGGGCTGCTGCTTAGTCTTGCAGTTCCCCTGGGATCCCAGGCCGTCTCCAGGGTGACCTCCCCAAACACTGCCCAGGCCGCCCCTCCCCGGCTTGGTGGGCCTTTGAGCCGCTTTTGACTTAGGCATCCCATTATCACTGTCTCCCGGAGCCTTCCCAGCCCCGCCTTGTGGGATTGCCACGATCTGACTGTGAAGCTGCGTCCCCGGATGTCAGGGGCGCCAGTGGGAAATACCGAAGTTTTCCCGGACATAACATCGAGACATGAAGATACTTCTGACCCCCTCTCTCCCAGATGCTGACAGATGCTGCGCAGCGGCTCACTTTTATTTCGTTGCCCCAACAACTATGCCATGAAATGATTGCTCTCAGAATTAGTGACCCAAAAACTGATGTTAATCGGCACACCTGGGGTGTAAGGGAGCATAGGGTCTTTAAACCCTGCTGTTACAGGAGCAGGCTGCCCTCCCTCACTTCCTCCGTGGACAAGGAACTACTAAAGCTTAATAAGACTAGACTCCTGAAGCTGAGGAAGTTTGGAGTGCAGGCTGTTTGGGGTCAGGGGACCACCTGCTATTCTCGCTGCCATAGTGGATACTCATTGAAGAAAGCAGAGGCCACCCACAGCACAGGCTACAGTGGGGTCCTTGACAAACGTTCTCCTGGTCCTCAGAAGCCAGGATGGAAGCTGAGCAGCCAGATTCCAGCCTAGTGTTCAAAGAGCCCTCAAGGCCATCCCTACCCACATTTTCACAAAGAGCAGGAAATTACTTCTTGACTACTACCAACGAGGTAGATCTATTCTGTGATCAATAGCCGGTACCCCATTTAAGCTGCTTAAAGATCCCATGATGTAGAGACCCCGTTATTCTGTTTTATTTTTGTGAGGATATATTGAGAACTATGATGTAACCTGCTTAGGTCTCTAGTCAAATCATGAAACTGCATTCCTCCCACTAGAAAGCCCTTGACTTTGCCAGACAGTGGGTCCACCAACCCCTCCCTTAATTATCTAATTATGTTTTCCAAGAATGTAGCCAAAATTTTAAGATACAGGAAATAAAAGGTTCACAGGTCAGTTTATTTTCATATTTTTAATTTATTTTCCAGGAAAAAAAAAGTCACATTTCGATAACAACTTACATTAAACTGTAGTTTGAAATGGGAACCCTATTTGCAGTAATACATCATGATGAGTAATTGCATATTCAAGATTTTGTGAGCTGGGTGACTAGAAGAATTATGGAGGAAAGAACAGTTATAAAAATCACTGGTTACAAAAAGTGATATCCACACTTTTACTAACTCATAAGGCGAGTGACTTAAAGATGGTATCATGATTATTTTCAATCTGTCCAGCCACATTCCTGCCACCCTTGCCCAGTAGAGAGAGAGCTCCCAGCTGTCCTCGGAGGGAGCAAGACTCAGCTGCTTTGTCGGCGTGGGCACACAGGAAGCATTAGAGCTGGACTGCAGATTAGGCAGTAAGGGTCAGGGAACACGGGTGGACTGAACAGGGAGGGAAAAAGACGAGACATTGACTTGTCGACTCAATTTACAATACACCTTGAGTATTTGAACGCACAGTTTCTTCTGTAACTATTTTATGTCCAAGATGTTTTGCGTGATGATATATTCAGTACAGAAGTATAAAGAGAGTCAGTGTACTTTTGCTACATGGATCACAGATAGCTTGAAATAAAGGCCACTACCAGGTCTTAGTACACATTGAGAAACATCTTCTTCACTGACTGAATGGATTGCATTATAGATAGAAACACAGCAAGAATTCTCTGCGATGCCTTTCCTGGTTTCTGATTGTTAAAGAAGAGTAAAACACCCACGGCTTACACCGCCTCTTAGTGGGGATGATGATTCAAGCTGACCAACAGGCTTTGCCCTGTACACGTGGTAAACCAATGAGGAGTCTTTTCACTTGAAACGCACCGGTGTTCAAGCAGCCAGAAATCACCCTAGGAATACCTGCCTGGCATGCAGGGTAGCTCTGTGATAGGTAAGACTAGTGGGCCACCAACATATCGCCTGCTGGTTTCCAAAATAAGCATCAACATCAATTTCCCAGTTCCCTTTGGCGGAGATAAGGGGCAGGGTGGGGTGGGGTGGGTGGGAGAAGGATGCAGGGGAATGGGTGGGCAGGGGAGAGAGAGAGAGAGAGAGAGAGAGAGAGAGAGAGAGAGAGAGGCCCCGATCTCTTTCATGTATATTCATTTTAAAAAGCAGTAATCAAACACCAGTCCTTGGAATCAATGCAGCTTTAAGAACTGTCATCCGAGGGACTCCTAAGAAAAATACCAGGTTTTGGATCTTCTGAGATAGTCATTTGGCATATTATTTAAAATAGCTTAAGGTGATGATGAATAAATGACATCCAGCATTCATTTTGCCAGAAACGGTGTCAATAAGTTAATGGAAGTTCAATGAGTCAGATGGTGCTAATATATGGATGATATACTCAGTCTATGAAGCAGGAAACTCACAGAGATCTGAATGGACAAAAGGCTGGATTGCATTCAAAAGATGTAAATGTCTTTTCTGAGATCTGAATGGACAAAAGGCTGGATTGCATTCAAAAGATGTAAATGTCTTTTCTGTCTAGTACAAGCAAGTTCAAATAAAGGAACATTTTATAATTTGACTTTATGTTAGAAAATTAGTTTCAAAAAAAAGCAAAAGGCGAAACAAAACCTGACACTCAGGGTTAGCCCTCTGACTGTGCTGAGAAAGCAGTACATTGCTCTTGGCCTTAATAAAAGTGGTTTCACAGAATTCTAAAATTCATGTAAAAATACTATCAACATCGCTCAGACATGATTTGGCTTCTTGAAGCTGTTTAGTCAAATATAACTGAAGATTCTTCACTAGTGTTAATGACTTCAAGAATCTGAAATCTTTTCAACAAATAGGGGCTTGAAGTGTTGATCACAGACTCAGGTCTTTAAAAAATTAAAATATTTCCATGTTGGGTTAAGAGTTCTTTAGACAATAAAGTTAAAATTCACTGAATGATTCTAGCGAGCACAGATTCATGTCCAGCGGCCAAAATTCCCTTAAAGCTACAAGCTTAGCCTACCCTTCCTTCTTATAATATTTGACTTACACGTCATCCAGGGGAGCTGTGAACTAGAATTAAAAGGAAAGTTTCCTGAAGTTCCTCAAGGTATCCTTATAAATAATAACACCCTCTTCCCAGTTCAGTGACATACTAAGTTCCATGAACTGTGACAGTTATTGCTCATATCTGAATAGTGGCAAAGGACGGTGTGTTTCACAACACAATGAAAGCTTGCTTGGGCTCGCAAGCCACACGGTTTGGAAAACACCAATGAATGCGCTCCTAATGTACTGTACTTCTTTTTCTTTACAACAGCAATAGGGGTTACTTTCATCTGTATTGGCTTTGCGCTGAAATCTCTTTTCTCTAACGAGGCTAAAGGTGTATTTAGCACAGGCAATGTGCTCCAGGAATAAGAGAAGGAAATCAGAAGTTAAATCTGGAGACTAGATTATTATACCCATGACACATGTCAACAAGCCTCTTCTTTTTGTGCAGCACTGTCTGCTTAGGACAGAAAGCAGAAACTAAACCTGGGGATCAATCAGAAAGGCCAGCCTGACTCATCATCTCAACTAAACAAAACCTGAGAGTCCTTCACAAAGGACTTTACTTCAATTGGATCCTAACGGTGTAATTCAGCCTTGCGGAAGATAACACAGTCCCCGAGTAGTGATAGGCGAGAAAGGTCAGTGCTTTCTGTATGTTTCCTTTTTTAACATAAGGAGTTGTAGAGGGTGCATGCCTGTCTCGCTTCTCTTGATTGTATGGATTAACACAAAATATGAGAGAAGTCGTATTTAATTCATAAGCGAGAGAGAATGGCTTTCTCCATTGTTTGCCAAAGGAACAAACAAAGCCAACACAACACAAACAGAAAGCCAAAGGAGTAAGGAAGGCCCAGCGAAGCTCAAGAGATACATGAGCATGGTAGAGAGGAGCATCAGGTGTCACTTGGCCTCAGCTGTCTATTTATGCCAACAATTTGACTCCTTGGTTAGTGAGAACATCTGGGGGCTTCACGAGAACACCACACTCCCGTATATTAAGTTTCTAAGCTGTATTCTGAGCCTACTTTGATATTACTATAAATTTTGCTTCTGGCGTTTAGAAGCTGCCAAACAGAAAATATCCCATGACAAACTGTATACATTTTCACTGACCGTGATTTTGTAAAATGCATCCTCTGTGGAGGAAAAGAAAGCTGTAACACACACACACACACACACACACACACACACACACATCACACACACACACACCTACCTCTCAAGTGGATATTTGCATATTTTACTATCATTTAACATTCATTGACAACCTGTGATTGCTTTGAGAAAAGGCAAAACATAGGAAAAATTGATACAATTATTTTTGGAAGAGGCTCATCTATGCTTAGGAAGCCAAGAGTCTAGGAAATAAGTCAGTTTCCAGGCCAGCGCCCCAGAGTCCCTAGTAGCTATTATTAGACTGAATTGAGAGAAAACACTAGGAAAATGACATTTATCTTTGAAATTAATATTTAAGTCTGTTATTATGTGAGCCCTAGAGATCTATCAGGGTCATGATGCTCAGATTTTGAATGCTTATCAATAAACATATCCCAAGTAACATCCCTAGAGATTTATAAAGACTTGCAGTCTGTCTAGGTTCTGAAACAGGGCCGCAACTGAAATCGTTTCTCTACTACTGTTTGGAAGTAAGGGGTCCCACATAGCATCCTCTGAGAGACATCAGTTCTTTTGAAATAACATCTTATCAGGCCCACCTGTAATTCTTTTAATGCAAACTTTTCACAGTGCCTTTATTTTGACATCCAACTCGATTATTCTCCCCAAATTAACCAAATGAAACAGCAAGGTACTCATTCTGTCGCTTAGGACAGTTGGGGTTCTTTGGGTCCTGTGGCTAAACCTCAATACCGCCACTGGGAAAACAAGGATTGAAAAGCATCTTTACCTTTTTTTTAGAGGTTGAACAAAGCATTATCTGCAGGGACTGGCAGCTGCGGCGCACTCGCTGCACAACTATTTTTATTGCGTGGCCATGAACCACTGTGAATGCGCACGTTCTTATTTCT